CCCCTACCCCTCCCCCACATCCACCTACGCAGCGCCACGCAGGGCCCCCGTCTCGGCTCGGACGGAGTGGTCAGCGATATAATCATCTCGTTTTTAAGCCCCCGCAAAGATGAGCGGGGAAGAAGAGGAGGAGGAGGAGAAGCGTGAACCGCTAATCGTGTTTGGAGAGGGGGAGGAGGCGTCCTGGAAGAGGGAGGGTGGTGGTTGGGCGTGGTGGTGGGCAGCGGGCAGCAGCGGGTGGGCGGTCCTGACCGTGCACAGCGCAGCGCGAGCACAAGTGGAGGGTAATGAGGTTAACGCGTTTCACCCTGCTGGGGGAAGGAATTAATTAAAGGGATGCTCAGCTCAAGTCGCTTTGCCTTCTAACGTCTCGGACTTGAGGCGTTCCTTCGTTAGGGGCGCTGCCACCGCTAGCCGTCGTCGTCGTCGTCGTGGCCCTCCGGGGGCGGGTGGTGCCCGTTTTAATTTGTTTAAGATGTATTTCCGTCTTTTGGGCTACTTTACCACGATGAGTCGCTCTCTGATGTCTTCTCCGCGATTGGAGGGGGATTTGCGTGGAAGACGTCCTTTTTTCGTATTCAAAGCTGACCGCGGAGGAGGCGGTTACATCGGCTGTGCCGCTGTGCTTGGCGGCTCTAGCAGCGCACGCACAGGACGGTTTCAAACGGTCTCAAAATCATTGACTGGCTGGCTTCGTCCTGGCGCGGTTCAAGGTCCTGCAAGCCCTCTGTCGGTTGCCTACATACAAGTGGTTTGCCAGCTCAAATTGTCTTTCAGTCAACTCACTCGAGACGACCCCCTCCCCCCCTAAACCGCGCTAGATTTTTAGTACCGGGTGTCCAGGCTGAGACATGACAGTACGTTGGGTTGCCTATGGACTGGCTGCAGGGGCTGCGGGCGCGGGACGGGTGGCGGGGAAGTGACAGCTCCCCGACCACTCACTCCCCCGCCCCCAGCCCCGTACATGAAAGTGTCGTGTGTCTTCAGCTATGAATTGGTCGTTGGCCTGGTTCCTCATTTGGGCTTTTTTTTTTGTTCCGTCTGGAACCAGTGTCTACAACGTGATAAGTATCTTGGCTGAGCCGCGAGGAGGGCTGCGTCGTAGTGGTCGTCGTCGGTCTTGGTCCATCCCGCCAATTGTCTTCCCGCCGGCGCGGCCATACTCCGCGCGGGCCCCGCGAGCTGCGGAGTAGCAACCGCTGCCCGGGGTATCGCCGCACCAGCTTATCTCTGTCCCGTGTGTATACCTGTGTACACACGACGAGGAGGCGTGGCCACGCACACGTCCTGCCTCACTCGTAATCACAGAGGACACTTGCGCTTTTGGTAGCGTCGCGGATCAAAGCGCCACCACCTGCCACCTCTCCCTCAAGGCCACGCCCCGCGTGACCTTTTGAATTTGGCGCCACGTCACGGGGGTCCTGCTGCTGAGGAAGGCGGTGAGTCCTGTGACCAGCTGTGACCGCCGCGCCATAACCCCGTGACGTAACCGTCTGCTACCCTCAAGGTGCATGGCATGGCCGACTGTCGGAGAGGACGCAAGGTTGGGATCAACAAACAGGTAATGCCCCGCGTCTGGTGCACCTGCGGGGGCGGCCAGGGCGCCCGCCAGAGACTTGGGACCGCGGCGATCGCGGTGCGACGTGGATCCGGAGGCGTCATCGCCTAACACCCGTTCCTCTCCCCGGGGAATGTCTGCTCCTCCTTTGCAGGACGACCACGGTCCAGGAATGAACGTCGCACAGTGGCTGAAGGGGCTCCTGTTTACCGAGGCGCAGTGCCTGGAGGTAAGCACCACCGCAGGCGATAGCGGGGCCCCACGGATAAGCTCCGCGCCGGGGCCACTGGGTGGGTAGGTCACTGGGTCTAGGCTGGGCTCACGGGCTGTCAGGGCCCTTCTGACACCTGCCACCCCCCTTCGGCCCCGCTGCCCAGGACTATGAATAGCCCCGCGCCCGGGTGCGCTGGTCCCGCCCCTGCGGCGCTCTCCTGCCCGAGGGAGGGGGCGTGGGTGCGAGGCGATCCTACCGCCAGGAGTGCGGGTGCCAATGTTTTTGCTGGGCAATGTTTTCCGCTGCTCGCCTTGGGCCCTTCCCTCTCCTCTTCCCTACCCCGCCCCTCCGTGCCCCTGTCCGTCCGTGCCCTCCGCGGCCGTTGGCGTACGTGCAACACCCCTCGGTACGGCCGTCGACCGCCCCCGAGGCTGACCTGGACATTGTCTGCGGCTGCTGACCGCTGATTAGGTTCGTATAGATGGCTGGAGTCTGCGACTCTTTGCATTGGCGACTCGGGAGTCCCGAGCCTCATCGTGGACCGTCCGCCAAATACATTATGTAGAGGTTATGTGTCCCTCTCCATATTCATGGTCCTTCGTGGGCATATGTTGATGCGGGCTGCGTGAGCTTCCGACGCTAATAGAATGGAATCAAAGTAGTCCCACGTGAAGAAATGAGGTACTTTGAATGTTTTTCTGGGAATGTCATTAAGTTTGAGCGAAAGTAATGTGCTGTATTCAGAAGTGCTTAATGGGCCATATGATAGGCTGCGGATGATTTAACTTGTGGATGATTTTGCTCTGGCATACTTGATGAACTTTGTTGAATATATTAATTTAGCCCTACATGTTTCCCTAAGTTTTTTTAACGTTTTTCTAAATTTTTACTGCAGTTTTTAATTTCTTTCTTTTACTACGCTTTTGTTCACCTGAAGTGGGCTATATTCCTTTTATTCTAACAGCAAAGTTCATCTCAAACCAAAAGTTCCATTAATGCTTAGCAATAAGAGAGAGAAAGGAAATGTCATGATAAAGAGACAGACTAAAGCACCATGCCCTCTTGATAGCAGCTGCTGCAACACCAAATGACTTCTGTGCTTGCTTGAGGCTGGGCTGGGCTGGCCTGATGTGGTGGGAGAAGTGAGCGGACAGCTGATATCAAGACTAATCAGTGGGAGTCAGAGATCTGATGCTAGTGTGGCGGCCAGTTTTGGATTGTGATAATGACTGAACTGAAGATGAAACTACGGGATGAAGTGAACATCAGTGGAGTGGGAGGTGGCGGCTCATCACGGGTGGGTCTAGGTCACTCAGTCAGTCTGGGGCCGGGGCCGGTCGCGGTAGGACCTTAGGGTGTGGGTGTGTGTTTGTCACAGAAGCAAGGCTGTTGATGCCATTGTGTACATTATAGACTGGCTGAGCTCTTACTTCATCATCATGCCTTTGGACTTTGGAAGTATTGTAAGTACTAGTAACCGAGAAGGTTTGATCAATGGTGGACTTCTCAGATCACGTTAATTTGAATTGTCAACAGGTACATATATGGATTTTGTTTAAGAGTTGTTTCAGAGTTTCAGTGATCAGTTTCAACCAGTTTCATCTGTTGTCATGAAAAGCTCACAATCTGCAGTTTGTGACCTTGGGTGGGAAGTAATCAGTTATGGTGCCCTCTTTCGAAAATAAACAAGCGGAGTCAGAAACATTTGCACGGTTCTACTTGTTTTCCTTAAAACATATACTTGTTAAGTTTTTCTTTAACTCTCTGGTAGACTGACAATTTTATGTTATTGCTTGCTTAAGAGTTTTCATTTGTATACAACTGGGTTATTTTGCAGACCTCACCTTTTTTTGTACTTTATTACATCGGTTGTATTGCTCATGCATTTATGTTCATTAGCAGCTTCCCGTGGGTATAATAACTGTCTTCTACTGTCCACCCTCCCCGCCGTCACCTTCCCCATTGATGGTACTCGTGGTGCGCGTGCTTGCTAGGAGGCTCCCCCAGGGGCGGTCGTTCGTTGAACGCGCGCGCACACACACACACCTGTCCTGCCCCTGCACCTTGCCAGCTGCTGCCGTGCCACATCTTGCCGCGCACCACATGAGCTGCAGTCAATGAATTTTGGCAGGGGGAGGGCTCTACTCTAGCAGCAAGTGGCGTAGGTCCAGCGCGCGTAGTAGATAGCGCCAGGTGGTGGACTTCCACCACTGGGCTGGGCTGGGCTAGGCTGGGCTCTGTCATTGACCGCTGCAAGACTAGGAGGAGGGGGCGTTTAACGGGTGACTCAGAGAAGACGCAGCAGGTGCGTGCGGGTTTGACTACCTTACAGGCAGTGCGAGTAGGCAAACCCGCTCGAACCTGCGTCTTCTCTGAATCACCCGGTACAGGGCCTGTTCTGATAAAGGGTCATTCCAATTCTACGTGACTTTTATGGCGGGTACTAATATGATGGGGTCCCAGAAAGATCAGGGCCATCATTGATGCCCCCGTAGGGCCCCCATAATATTTGTACGCCGGGTTACAAATGTCATGGGGTCTCTATGGACTCCAATGATGTTCCTGATCCGTTTGGGACCCCATAAAGTCGCGTAGTATTGGAACGACCCCTAATGACAGGTCAGCGAGCGCGGGCGGCGGGGCGGATGAGCTTCATATCGCCGTCAAGACTAGACACGCGGATCAAAAAAAAATGTCTTTCACCAGAAATGCCTCGAGGCGTTTCTGGGCCAGACTGGGGAAGGTATGCGCGCCAGGTCGATGTCCCGGGCGGGGAAGGCCCTGTCCCCCTGCCCTGCCCGCCGGCGCCCGGCCCGCACCCGCGCGCAAATTATATAGCCGTGCAAATGCGTCGGGCCCTGGCTCTGTACCTCGCTCTCGTCCCGCGGAGTGAGTGTGTTTATTGGAAGCCCGTATCATCAGCTGTGCGTGGCCGGGCCGGCCTTATCATCGCCAGGCGGCGCCCCGCTGCTGAGCTCGCCTCATCGCCGAGGTGCTTGTTTGCCTCGACGTCACGCCCATGTGCCCGCGGACCACGGCGGCACATCGGGGAGCAAGGCGACAGAAAAAAGAAAACGAAGGCACCTTTTTATTTGACGCGCCCGCCCACTATATGCCGTACTGCCGATTACACACGGATTATGAAAGTGACGACCTCCCTCTCCCCGGGGGCGAGGAAAATTCCGCTCGGTGCCGGAGAAAAGCTCACGCTCTGGGTGTCCCCCACCGAAACCCCGCGCCCGCTCTTGGCGCGTCTCCAGCTGCGCTGACATTAAGACGTGGATAGGAGGCCGTCGGCAGCCTCAGCCTAGTGAGGTGGGCCACCCGCCCAGCGCGTGTGTCGTAGGGATGCCTAGGGACGCCTTCGCCTTAAGCTTTTGGACCGCTGTCCTATGAGTTACCAAAACGATTCGTCCCTAAAACTTGGCCTGGTGACTCGCAGTACTAAACAAGAAAATTAGACGGACGTCACCCTACCCTACCCTAATTTCCTGTTATCTGCGTCATGTGTGCTAGGATCTAGATTAAGACAGTAAGATTTAAGGTGGTGTCTTGGGGACTGGCCGGAATCCAATCTCAGTACTCGTAGACGAGGCGTCCCGCCGTACAGCTTATATTTTTCAAAAGAAGAGATTATAGCACTTTTCTGATGCTCGTGGTGTTGCTTCCCTTAGTGTGCTGGGCTCCGCGGGCATCGTTACCCCGGGCCGTGCCGCACTGCGCCCTGAAGCACCTTTGTCATATGAAGTCGATGTAAATGTGAAGTTCAGCAGCAGGGTTCTGCGCCATGGCTCCTCACCATGAGACGGAGGTAAACGCAGCGAGCATTTCCCCTGCAAGTGCTCTGCCCTGCCTCTCAGTGGTGCTGATTCTTCTCAGCTAACAAGTAATTTCGCCGTAATAAGTTACAGTGGAAACTGCAGTGCTGTTAATTGCCTTACCGTAAGTTACGATTATGGTCAACTGGTCAACTGTAAACGGGCCGTGGCCTACCCTTGTGGAGCCAACGGTGCACGAATTTTAAAAAGGCAGATTACCATAACTTAATGCACTGAAATTCACCATAATTTACAGTGAATTCCACCGTGACTAACAGTGCCGCAGGTTCTATCGTGTAACTGCCTGCGAAAAATTGCCGCAAGCTTTCATTTGAAAGCTCACTTATTTCGCGACTCCTCTTTACTACTTAATGATTTAGAATACCCGCTTCTCTTTCTGTGTGTTTCTCTAACGCTTAGCTTTTTGCGCCGGAAGAGGTTGTATTCAGCGAGCAGCCGCATCCCGAGAAATGCACGCACAAGGTACAATTTGATGCCATTCAATTCGCTTGTTGTGGTAGTGAACAGTAGTGCATCAATGCGTTGCCAGTCGCTTGTTGTGCACATTTCAATCTCTATTTTTGTAAATGTTGATATGAGCATTGTGCTTGACTCGCTTATAGGCGCCTGGGTGGAATAAGAGTGGCCCGTACTCAAAAATGAAAGTCTATAGGCCTAGCGTGATAAATTTTGACCGAGTTTTAAATCAGGGTGGATATTCTAAGCCGTTTTCTGGTTATGCTGCACATGATGCAGGCGTGTCGACGGGTTGCACACTCGTACCTATGGAGCCGACGGGGGACGAAACAAACGAAAAATCTCTACTTAATTTTGTTTTTGTTTTGGACCGTCTTTACTGCGCAGCGTCGTTTTCAGGCTGGTTCCGACGAGAATAGCCTTAAGCGACACTGTATAACGTTCACCTGATTTCTTGGCTTTCCCCTACTTTTTTGCCCTCAAAATACCCACTCACTCCCCTCTCTCCTTCCCTTACTCCCCCCTCCCCTAAAAAAAGTCATAAACCCGAAGGACCAACCTAGGCCGACCAAACGCCGCACAGAGTTGGCAACTCTGTTTGCCAAAAGTCAGGGAGAAAATAAGTGTGACTGGAAGTCTTGCAAATTTTATTTGGGCCAGGGAAAACGTTAAGTGAGAGCTAATGCTGCAAATACGTCAATGACCTTATTTTTGTGTTTTGTTTTTACTGCAATTAATGTTAAATGACCCTCAGCTAGAGAAATAGGTCAGGGAAGACCACAAAATCTTTGCCTTGAAGTCTGGGAAAATGGGAAAGGGGATCTTGTATGAACCCTGTGATGGGTCTGCCTATTATTAACCATCATTAAATTAAAAATATG